GTTACCATATGTGTATAATATATATATATATATATGGATATATGTGTGGCGAACCAATTAAAGTAAGCAGAGCCTGCAACATCCCTCTTGAGGCTGGCCACCACGGAGACAGAGGCCCACTACATGGCGGAGCAGATGTCCATACATCGTGCGGCATTGCGGCCAAAATCAGCTTCTTGCCAGTGCTGCTGTGCCACCTTATGTGCTGGTTTGTTGTCGGCGCTTGCTTCGCAGCGAGCTTGAAACATCACCCTTCGTCGTCTGCCAGGCAGCGAGCCTCAACATTTCGCCTTATGATCCAGTGCCTGCGGAAGTTTTCACCCTCAAGCCACACCAGGCCCCACATGGTCCAGCAAATGTTGCCTGCTCATGGATATGTCAGCTTAATTGCGTGTATATATCAACACACATGCATAGGGCGTGTTAAGTTTACGAATGAAACTATGAAACAACCCTCGACCTTGGGAACTCTTCGCCAGGTGGGGCTGATAACAATGGACGAGCGACGGATTCTGAAGTTGCGCATTGACCCCGGGAGCAAGACCCTGGATCTCCCTGACAACATGACGCCGGCAGCAGGTGAGAGTCGAGAAGTCGACATGCAGCGCCGCAATCTGCCAGCGGCCTGAGATAGCCCGATATTGACTTTTCGAGAAGTTAATGCTCCAACTAGGCGCATGCTCTTGGAGCCAGACTATGCCTCTCCCGATCGAGTGCGCCATGCACTCAGTCCCAGCGTCGGTGTCAGATTGTCTCCGGTACGTGACTGCAAATATCTCCCCTGTGACGAACAAGAGTGCCAGGAAAAGACCTGGAGCTCATGCCGAAGCCCTAGCCGATGCAGTGCGCAACTTGGGGACTCAGTGAGCCAGAATCCTTGCCAGGTTTCAGCTCAAACAAGACCACCCCAACTGGCCAGATGCCGTGGATGTTACGTGCGGCTATGCAGAAGCAAGTTGTAAAGTTTTGCAGACATGTCCAGTGCAGAGCGCCTACCGTGGAGAGCAAGGAAGAATGGGCTGTCCCAGGTACAAAGCAATCCCCGAGACCGCGTCCATCCTGATGGATCAAGCCCGGCCCTCGAACCCCTTTGGACCCTCAAAGCAGACGCTAGCTGTGTTGACAGGTCCGGAAGGGCAAGAAGGCTGAGGCCAAGTAGGCCAAAGAGCCTGCAGGCCGTCCTTTTCTGGGCTGTGCGAGTTGTCGGACTGGCGCAGATAACGAAGATGAATTTGAGTTTCTGTAAACATACCATCCGAGACTGACGAGTCTGCTCTCGCACAGCCTGAGTCAATGCCAAAAGGGTGCAAACAGGCTTCCTCTTGCACACCCAGCTCATCAGCGTGCTTGCCGACCCTGCCTCCAGCCTCACCTTCTTGAGGCGTTATCGTTTCAGATGGCTACTAGTAGGGCCTAGGACCAACACTGTCGAATACCTGTAACTGCAGCAGTGTTTGCACGTTTGCAATTTGGCATCTTGAGCATCCGCAGATGCTGTAATTCCAGGGGCAAAGGGCAAGCCGGCAAGTTCCATGCTGGAATACCCGCAGTGTCAAGAAGGCCTGACGCCTCGGTAAATGCCGGGCCTCAGTCTAAGTTGGGTTGGAGAGCCATCCCTGGTGGAAGACAAAAGTTGGCCAACCCTTGTCACGCCGTTGAAAAGTTCGCGATCCCAAGCAGGTGACAGAGCTTGACCAATGGGGTGCCACAGCTTTGCACCACGCAGCCAGCAGAGGGCAACGTGCAGAGGGCTCAGGCTGGTTGCGGGAAACTAGATGCAATGCTGAACTGGGCTAGCCGTATTCTGAATTTTTTTCACCAGGGAGAGCAACATGCACTGCCCAGGCTGTAGCGCGACTTCTCCTGACGAGCCAGGCCATTTCTTCGCCGACTTCCAACCTGGAAAGCCAACAAGATTGTAAGCTTGTGAGGCAGACGTAAATGCAATGTGTTGCTGGCTCTCTTGCTTCGTCTTCGATCATAACAAGAGCCTGCAGCTATGCTGAAACGATTCGGAGCCCGGTGATGCCAGGACAAGCAACTTACACATGCCCATCGACTTGGCGCAGGCGAAAGGTTGCTGTCTTAGCAAAGGGACCGGCAAGTTCCCCATTGCAGCTCTTGTTACACATGTTTATACATGTAGGCCACCTGGACCTTGCCGCAGAGCTACAACAAGAAGCCCTGCGATGTCAGGAGGCTCGATGCATCAGAAACGCCGGATTTTCGGTGCTGGGGTAGTGCGATTATAGCTGGCAGATACACGGCTCACGGCTCTGCTTTGCTCATGTACTTGAGCTTGGACATGTGAGGTCAGCAACATTCATCAGAGGAAGGCATGCTTGAGATGGTGCCTGCCGCGGTCATGCAGCAGAGAAGCCGCGGCGACTTCCAATGACTTGAGCCCAGGTCCGCAACCTTTGCCACTGCCTCCGTGGTCTTGCTGGCCAGCCTGGCGCTCGTTTCCGTGAGGTGGATTCGAAGTGTGGCTTCAAAGTCCCGAGGCCTGTATTGCCGAAGCTGACATTAGCTGACATGTGTACCTCGCCACGACGATCTTGTGAGAGAACGGTTTCTGTACATCCGCTTCCATCACAATTCCGGCGCAACGGAGACCCCGCGTGGTGCTAGCCTGGCGAGCAGGGTCAGCACTCCCGAGCAAGGACCCAGGAATGGACGGCCGTTCGCACCTGAGCCCCGGAGCGTGCGACATCCAAAGCCTCGGGTGCACAGCTCATGGCCAGCAGGGTTCATGACAAGAGAGGAGTGATCATGAGCTTGCTGCCGCATCTTAATCCTGCAGCTGGCAGAAGCAGGGCAACTGGAGATCAGTAGCATGTTGCAACTGACTTAACATCATAGGTTATTGATATTTCTATTCATTCTTATTTAATGAAATTGATTGTGTTATTTTTCGAAACAGCTGTGTCTTGGGTAATACATTGGTTTCTTTCTGAAAGCTTTTCTAGACTATTACATATATATATATAGAAGCAGTAAGTTAGCAGGCTTTTTTTAAGAGGGATGGTTAAACAGTTAGAGATTGATTTCTGGAACATATAATTCGAATATTTGTAGCAAGATTCGTTTTGATGGATGATGAAATGGAACAGAAGGCACGTACTGGGGGGTTGTGTTAAGTCGTACCGCGCTGTGTGAAGTCATACCTTTGTGCGTGGACACTAGGGGGAAGCCATTCTGAACAAGTCCCGGCAATCGGCACAGCGACACAGCGCGTGTTTCTGGAGCGGGTGCTTGCTAAATCGAGCATCTACATGGGGAATGGCTGGTTTTGATGCGCGGTTTGCTGCTTCTGGACAATTTCCTAAAACTTGCGCGTGGCATTCGAAATCCTCAGTAGATGTCTGTTTTTGTTATACGAAAATATAGGTTGTTGCTGAGATTCTGAACTTAATTGCCAAAAAAAGAAAATCGGTTTAAAAATGATGGTCTAGATGAAATTTTGATATGATATATAAATATAGATCTAAATTACGAATCGATAGATAATTATGAGTGTCTAAAATGGGTATTATAATTGCTACCATATCTCTTGTAGATATTCTTGAATTCGGTCGTTTATGAGGAAATATTTGTTGATGAATAATAAGTATTAGTTATTTCTTGATTTTTCTTGTTATTTTAATGTATTTTTTTTGAAATAATTATCGTTTGGTTTGATTGAGAATTTTCTTTTTTTGTTTTCGTATAATTTAAATTTCTTATATGATTTTATTTTATTGTGAATTTGGATGATAGATCGATTATATTGATTAAATATTGTTCTTCGTTATAAAATTTATAATTTATAAAATATATACTTTATTTCGATACTTATTGAAAATAATTAAAATATATAATAATGATAAAATTTTATATATTGGAGCTCGCTAAATTATTATTTTCGAAGATAGTCATAGAATATATATAATGAATTTCTAGCACGAGATTATGAATGATTAAATAT